CCAATGGAAATAAGTTAGACAGTCCTCGATAACGCACTGACTTTCTTGGGTTATCCTGGGTGGCTAACCCTCCGGGGTTAAAAATCCGAACGAAATCTTATCTTATCTCTTATGCAATGTATTAAATTCAACTTAATAACACTGATTATGTACTAAATTATGCACTTTATAAAGGTAAATAGTACAACTTACCTTTAAATAAATCAAGGACCCCAATGGAAATAAGTCACTCTGTCTGACTTTTTTGGGTTATCCTAGGTTCTCTACACATATGCTGCTATGTATGATAATTCTATGTAACTGTATTGTGTATACCTGAATAAATTTACTTACTTACTTACTTACTTACTAGCTACTTGAGCTTAGCAATTACATGTATAATATAAATTTTAAGTGTGCATTAATACAAACTTGGCTCCTCAAAATTAATATTATACAAATTAATAAATCCTTGCCAGAATTTGGCATAGCAAAATTAATATACACATTAATAATTAGCTACACGTGGCTTATCAATTACACATACACTGATATAAATCTTGGCCAAAATTGGCTTATCAAATTAATATTATACAAATATAAATCCTTGCCAGAATTTGGCATAGCAAAATTAATATTATACACAATATAATCTTTATCCACACTTTTCTTATCAATTACACATACACTGATATAAATCTTGGCCAGAATTGTCTTATCAAATTAGTATTATACAAATTAATATAAACTTAGCCAGACTTGAGCTTAGCTTATCAAAATTAATATTGTAATTATTATAATCCACTACACATTAAGTAAATTTGTGAACTTAACATCCACCTCCTGTCATTTCACATATTATTAAATAATTAACTAATTAATGCTTTACTAATTACCTCCGGTTCAAGAAGGACCAACGGACAAATTAAATGTGGAAAATTGCATTTATCTGAATGTAACTAATTATGTACATAACAGTAAATGATAACAAAGATAATTATTATTTATCAATGTTACATAGACAAGTAGGAATTTGGGACACCTTGGTCGCAGTCCATCAAGATTGATGGACTGACCACATCGACTCAAGGTTGAGGGACTGATTACCTCACTCTACTCCTGTTCTTCAAGATTCTCCTTTGTATGGACTGATGAAGCCACTGTGTGGTGAAACGTTTCCTCAATAAAGATACCCAAGAGTTGCACATGTGTCTAATTTATCAACATGTCGGTTCTCTGAACAATTCATCTAGAAACTTGTCAGACACTGCAACTTCTTGGGATCTTAATACTTGGGAATTCTTCGCTTGCCTAATTCTTGGGCACGACCTACTTCCACATTGAACAAATGTGACACCGCCTATGACTGCTGCACCTCTCCTACCAACGGTTTATAAGCTCCTTCTCCACACATATGCTGTATTCTATTCAAGATTGATGGACTGACCACATCGACTCAAGGTTGAGGGACTGATTACCTCATTCTACTCCTGTTCTTCAAGATTCTCCTTTGTATGGACTGATGAAGCCACTGTGTGGCGAAACGTTTCCTCAATAAAGATACCCAAGAGTTGCGCACACACACACATACACATACACATACATAAAACAGGCCTAGTGTCTAATCGACATGTGCCTAGGACAAAATGGTAACTAACACACACACACACGCACGCACGCACACGCACACATATACTCTTTCAATGCACCGGCCGTATCCCACCGAGGCAGGGTGGCCCAAAAAGAAAACAAAAGTTTCTCTTTATAAATTTAGTAATGTATACAGGAGAAAGGGTTACTAGCCCCTTGCTCCCGACATTTTAGTCGCCTCTCACGACACGCATGGCTTACGGAGGAAGAATTCTGTTCCACTTCCCTATGGAGATAAGAGGAAATAAAGAACAAGAACTAGTAAGAAAAGAGAAGAACACCCAGATGGGTGTGTGTGTATATATATGCTTGTACATGTGTCAGCATAGTTGCTGATCCCTGTATTCCCAGTATTATATAGCATAGCAATAGCATCATCCTTGTGCTTTAGACACGAGACCCCTCGTAGGCCTGTGGTTTTGTGTGACGTCACGGGATGCACACGAGGAGGCCCATTCCTCTGTCCCGGCCTCACTCGGCGGCAGACCATCCAGGCGTAGACAGGCAAGGCAGCTGGGGCTCCATCCCTCATCTCAGTCTGACAATATATTTACCATCCTACAAGTGTGTCTACTTTCAACCTACGATATCTCCATTTAAGAACCCTTACGATACATGCATGTGTAGTGTGACCTAAGTGTAAGTAGAAGTAGCAAGACATGCTTGAAATCTTGCATGTTTATGAGACAAAAAAAAGACACCAGCAATCCTACCATAATGTACAATAATTATAGGCTCCCGTTTTACACTCAATTGGCAGGACGGTAGTACCTCCCTGGGCGGCTGCTGTTACCAACTACTATGTAGGATATATATATATAATATATATATATTATATATATATATATATATATATATATATTAATATATATATATACATATATATATTACCGGGTCACCAGCTGGAAAAGACCCGGGCCGGGACAAGACCGGCGAACCTACAACAGCAACAAATTTATTTATTTATTTATTTCAACTCGTCGGCCATCTCCCACCGAGGCAGGGTGACCCAAAAAAGAAACACTTTCACCATCATTCACACATAATCACTGTCTTTGCAGAGGCGCTCAGATATGACAGTTTAGATGGCACTCCAAACAGCCAATATACCAAACCCCTCCTTTAAATTGCAGGCATTGCACTGCCCATCTCCAGGACTTAAGTCCGGCTAATCGGTTTCCCTGAATCCCTTCACAGAATATTACCCAGTTCACACTCCAGCAGCTTGGCAGGTCCCAGAAACCATTCGTCTCCATTCACTCCTATCTAACATGCTCACACACATGCCTGCTGGATGTCCAAGCCCCTTACACAGAAAACCTCTTTTACCCCCTTCCCCGCTCCCTCCTTTCCTACGATGACCCCTATCCCTCCTCCCCTCCAATACAGATTTATACAACCTCCAAGTCATCATATTGTGCTCCATCCTCTCTAAATGACCAAATCACCTTAACCCCTCTTCACCCCTCTGAATAATTCCACACTATGAATTCTCTGTATAATATTTACACCACACATTGCCCTTAAGACACATCACTGCCTCCAGCCGCCTCCTGGCTGCAGCATTTACAACCCATGCTTCATACCCATATAAGAGTGTTGGTGCCACTATACTCTCGTACATTCCCTTCTTTGCCCCTATGGATAACGTCTTTTGTCTCCACAGATACCTTAATTCACCACTCGCCTTATTTCCTTCATCAGTTCTATGGTTAACCTCGTCCTTCATAAATCTGTGGCCTGGTGGCTAAAGCTCTCGCATCACACGGCGAGGGCCCGGGTTCGATTCCCGGCAAGGTTAGAAACACTGGGCGTGTTTCTCTACACCTGTTGTCTATGTTCACCATCAGTAAAATGGGTACCTGGGAGTTAGTCGACTGGTGTGGGTCGCATTCTGGGACAAAACTGACCTAATTTGCCCGAAATACTCTGCATAACAAGCGGCTATATATGTAGTAGTATGCCACTGATGTCAGCTAGGCCTGTATATCTTGTACATGTACTTGTAGAATTAAAGATTTATTATTATTATTATTATTATTATTATTATTATTATTATTATTATTATTATTATTATTAACCGGTGACAAGTCTATTCCCAAATATCTGAACATAATCACTTCTTCCATACTCCCTCTAATGTGATATCCAATTTTTCTTTACCTACCTCGATTGATGTCGTCATTTATGTTCACTTTCAACTTTCTTCCTTTACACACCCTCCCAAACTCGTCCACTAACGTTTGCAACTTTTCTTTAGAATCTCCCAAAAGCACAGTATCGTCAGCCAAAAGTAACTGTGTCAACTCCCATTTTGTATTTGATTCCCCATAATTTAATCCCACCCCTCTCCCCAACACCCTAGAATTTACTTCCTTTACAACCCCATCTACAAATATATTAAACAACCATGGTGACATTACACATCCCTGTCTAAGACTTACTTTTACCGGGAAGTAGTCTCTCTCTCTCCTACACACCCCAACCTGAGCCTCACTATCCTCATAAAAACTCTTTACAACATTTAGTAACTTACTACTTATTCCATATACTTGCAATATCTGCCACAATGCTCCCCTATCCACCTTACCATATGCCTTTTCTGAATCTATAAATGATATGAAAACTTTTCACTCATATGCTTCAATGTTAACACTTGCTCTACACATCCCCTACCCTTTATATATATATATATATATATATATATATATTATAATATATATATATATATATATATATATATATATATATATATATATATATATATATATATATATAATATATATATACATACATACATACGTACATATACATATATTGTACTGAACATGTATGTGCTCACCTGAGTGTGGAACACTTGGGAACCAATTTGCATAACACTTGATTGATTTAATTTTAGTAATTTGTTGATTTTCTGTTATATTTCCATTTTTAGCTTACTTTGCTTAATTTAGTTCTTGTGCTTAGTAATTAGTTTAATTCTGTGTATTTTATATTTGTACGCTTTTTTTTATTTCTATATTTTTTTATTTCAATTTTAATGTTTTATTATTCTCTTACCAATCAACCATGGAATACCTTCTGATAGAAGAAATATTTTAGTTGTAATAGAATTTCTCGTTTAGAATTGTAGCTTAAAGTATAATGCAGAACTAGTACACGTAATAGCCAGTTGTTATAGCATGTGTAAGAATGAGTGGGAAGTGAAAAAGAAGATTGAAAAAACATGTTTTTCCCCTTTTCCTGGAGGTTTGAATTCAGCGGGTGTTAAATATTACCCAGAGTGCTGCCAGCCTCCCTGACACATTGCAGTGACGTCAGCACTGACTTGCCTCACGCCGCTAGCACCAACCTCTTATATACTACCAATGCTCCTCCTGTACTGTATAATCTGGCAAAATTACTTACTCTCGGTACTTGAAGAACATCTGTCTATCACTTGGTTAATTGCCGAAAAGAAATGTGGCTTAGGAATGGTGGTAAATGGGCGTAAATAGGAGCGTAGGTATCATCGTACGAGGGGCCAATGGGGATGGCCCACGAATGGCCACGTCTGCGCCCTGCACAGCTTCCAATATCAACTCGTCCAGTCTGTAACACCAACTTCTACAATGAGGGTGGGAGTGTCCTTCGCTGTCTTGTTGGCCACCCTGGCCATGGCCGTCCTGGCCGATGAGGACATTACGAAGGACGAAGGTGTCTTGGTGCTCACCAAAAGCAACTTCAAGAAAGCCATGGAAGAAAATGAATTCATCCTCGTCGAGTTTTGTAAGTAATGTAATTTTTTTTTTGCCAACATGGGTTCCCCGGTGTCTTAGTGGTGGGTGAAACCGGTCCCTCTAGTTTTCTTAGCTTATAAACTATATTAAAGCTTGTGAAGATATTTGGGTGTGGCCTAGGTAAAGAATAATATCAGTAAAGGTTTTGGCTTTGAAAGATTCCATACAAAGTATCTTTTGCTTGACATATGGTTAAAAGATACCGTAGTATAGGGATTGGATTTATGTATTCGGGGGTGGCAAGTGTTGTCATTTAAAGCGTACACCTTTGTTTCATATGACTAGGAAAACTATTAGTGGGACAGTGGTTCTTTTAACTGTCTGGGTGTATGAAGGGTGACGTGGCTGCCCCCGGGGAAAGGGGGGATTGTTGTGGGTGGGACCTTCCAGGATGGAGGGTACATTAAATGTTGTAAGGATCTCTTCAAGCAAGGAATTGGAGCTACTCTTCCCTCTTAATCAAACTTGATTCTCTCATCCCCCCTCCCCCGATGTATGATCCATATAATATACCGGGTGGTGGTTACGTGTTGGTTGTCACTCCATAAGCTACAGTTATCAAATTAGCAGACGAGTTAGATGCCAACCAGCATCCGATACTTAAGATCGTTCTTAAAGTACATGGTAGCCTTTAAGATAAAAACAACGTGGAAATTTCACAAATGGATGATCGTAATTAAATAAGTTATGGTGTTGCATGGATTCGATCCATACGGGTTTAACGCTTGTATTAAAATCTAGTTAATTCACTGTTTGGCCAACATTTTAATTATTTGGTTAATTTTAAATTGAACCAAAATATATGGTATATAACTAGCATATAAATTTACTCTATTGTTAAATGGACTGTACTATTGAAAACTATTCTTTAGATCCCCTAGCCTGTTTATTTCCTGGTAATTTTAAGACTGGGTATCTCTGAACCATGCTCGGTTGATAGATAGCACACTCGTATAATATCCATGGGTGTTAGGATTGTGAGTGGTATCATGAAGGACAAGTTTGAAGGGCCTTAGTGGAAAAAAGTCCTGGATGATGCACTGATTTTATTGGGTTATCCTGGGTGACTAACCTTTCAGGTTAAAAATCGAAACCAATCTCTCCCAACTTAAGTATTTCAATTAACATACTTTAAATTTTTAAGCTGTTTATTTTAAATGCAAACCTCGTTGTATGCTTTGTATTTGACACTTTACTAATGTTCGTAAACAGGATTTGAAGGTACGTAATTTATCATAAATAAATAGTATGCTTAAGTTGAAATTGTTTACTGTAATTTCTACCGCTGAACCTTGTTTGTTTATTTTAAGTTAATTTATGCCTGCCCATAATGCTTTGCATACAAGGGGCTTTTGGCATGTACACCCAACTACTATAATTCCTTGTACAACTATGTATCATGTCCAAATAAACTGTATGAATATGAAATTGGATAGGCCAGTGTAGTTACCCCTAACTTGACATTTTAAAAGATAAGGACAAGAAACTGCTCACCTAACCTAACAATGTCAGTTTTTTGTCATACTACTACTCTGGAGGTGTTAAACTGATTATATCTAAGATTAGAGCTTACAGTAAGGCAGTGTGGATATACTGATTGCATTATCTTTACTTTTACTAAAACTGATGTAATATGGAAAGCGCTGAACCTGAAAGTCCTAGAGCCCGTGGGAAATTGGAAAGTATTAAGATTTGATCAAAAAGTAGAGGGCAACTCCACATCCTTGGATTAAAGTGTACTAATGGAAAATCAAGAATAAAAGATAGTTTTGGTGAAGCATGGAGAGACTAATAGCTTGTAAATGCATCATGAGATACTACTGTGTACTTTACATGAAAATGACTGTTCTGTAGGTAAGGTGTTAAACTGGAGGTTTTGATACCCACGCATTTGTGATGGTAAAGAGCGTTTGATGTTTGAATACGCATTAAACGAAAGCATTTCTGTGTATCAACATATCAGTTGGGGTAGCAACTGCACCGTGAAAGTTTAGTTTGATATACACAAAACTAATGAAGCCTCTCAGCGGAGTTTCCCGAATGTCTTGAACTGTACATAAATATCCATATTACCATACCAGTTCAACTTAGTTTAAAGCCCATAACAAAGTGGGTCATTATATGGTTGTGGTTTACTTGTACATTAATCCATATTTTAGATATTAAAACTATTTGTTAAACTATGTACACAAACACGGAGTAGTGATCAAATTCATGAGATTAGGGAGTTGAATTCATGACTGAAGTTCACAGGCGAGTGTAAAGGTAAGATGGCTGGGGTAAGATGGTTGGGCGAGTGTACCAATGTTCACCCAAGTGTAGTGAAGAAAAGTACAGACTAGTTAGCCTCCTATGTATCTCCTCTGTAGTTGGAGATTTAAGGTTATCTTGAATTACTCCCTAACATGCAGGGAGTTGACAGCAATAACTACATGCCGTTGACCCCTCATGGAAGATGCGTTGGTGCTTGTAAGGAGCTGGCGATACAAGGAACTGGACTTGTCCTTTCCTTGGATCGAACCTGAATTAATTTCATTCCTCAGGCGCTATAATACTCCTACGGGTTTAGAGCTTCCAATCGTTAAAATAAATGTGAAAGCGGTTGAAAAAAAGTTGAGCATATGGATAACGGTTTGCGACTGTAAGACGTACTAACGGGGCCAGCGAGGAGGGTGTTCTTCGCTTATGTTGCCAGCACTACTGACAACTTTTCATAGCACTGGCAATTAACTCTTAGCTGTATATATGCTGAACTGTGTTTTTTTTTTATCTGAATTGTGTACCATTGAGGACATTTGTGAAAGGCGGAAAATTTTAAGACTTGGTCCTAGTGGAAAAGTAGGGTTATCGATATATTTCCTAGTGTATGGAGTCTTCCACTTGGTTAATTAAGACTGTTTTAACCAGGTTATATAGCACCTTTAAATAAAATTTGGTTATTTTGAGTAGGGTGTTGATGTAGGTGGATTGTGATGAGGGCGGTAACCTCAGCACAGCCGGCACTTTCTCGCTTCCCTTGTTCCTCACCGCCTCGACTCTGGATTAAAGTTGAACAAATTTAGTTTTAGAAAGGATAGAAAGTACTGTTTGGGCAATAGGCGAGTGGAACACTTCAGGTAGCGTCACTAATGAAAGAATTTTGGGGTAGCTTTGTCTAGGATGGTGTGGCTTGGTTGATAGGACCCTCAGCTCATTAAGGGTCTGGGATCGATCCCCGGCACGGATGAAACTTTCAGCACGTTTCCTTACACCTGCTGCCCCAGTTCCCCTAGCAGCCAGTAGATACCTGGGTGTTACTGTTCTGGATGGCATCCCCGAAATGCTCCACCATAACCAGACGCTTTATATAGTATGCCAATGATACCTGCTAGGTCTTCTGTTGGGTTTCAGGGCCACTGACAGCATACCTGCTAGGTCTATAATAGTTGTCTTATACTTGTAGAAATAGATTATTATAACGTTAGTCTTCATACCCTGCACTGCTTTACCTTCATGCCCCTTAGTACCTCACCCACTGCACACTTAGTAAGCTTCACTCGACGCCTGCGACATTTTTCACGATGCAGCATTGTTCGATGGCCAACCATAGTCTCTAAAAGCTAACGTTACGCATGCAAGTATTCCCTAGTTTTCTGAAGTTAATTTAATTTGCCCCGATTAACTGCGCTGGAAAACCTTTCAATGAATACCAGAGTGGGGATGGGACGATACAAACACTTTTTGCAGATACCATCAAAATTAGCAGATATCAGTCGATAGTGACTTAGCCATTCTTCTAGCTAAGTCTTCATATTAGCCCCCACAGTAGGTGGCCAAGCCTCATACCTATTATTCCTCGATAAAGGAATGAAATGATTTACTGGATAAATGTAGCCAAAGAATATATAATCAAACTGGATGAGAATATTGATTTGTACATTAATTTTGTATAGTTGAGGACTTGTAGGCGATTACAGTAATGTAATTGCTTTGACTATGAAGGCCATAAATGTTTCTATCCCCTGCGCAGAAAGGGGCCATAAATACTGACCAAAACTTTTAGAGCACATGTGATTTGAATAGCATCACTATTGGCACTTTCCTTTGTCAAAGTTCTCGTTACCGCCCCTTCATTTTCCTGGCTGTTGTGACAGTTGCCATAATTATATTTGACAGGAAGGTCAACCAACATAATTAGTCAGTCTTTCAGTTTTCTTTCATATTTGATGATCCTCTTGAGTTTTGTATACATTGTTCCATTTGAGCACTTCATTGTTCCAGTATCTAAGCAGCTGTAATTGATCATTGTTGAATGCCACTTTCTTCACTGCCCATTGGAAAAACCTTACTTGTATCTTCCTGCAGTTTTGTCTTCAGAGGTGATTTTCATGCTTATTTTATCAGCAAATTATACAAAACTCAAGCATTTGCTTGCTACGAGGATCCGAAGAATGTTGTAATTGACCTCAGACTGAAGTGCTTTGTTATACCTGTGACTGTGACCACCTGGTCCCTGGCCACAAGGGAGGAAACTGGTGTTAATTTCCATTGGGAATCTTGTGGGTCCTCAAGGTATGCAACCAAACTAATCTAGGTATCTGTATACTGCTAGATGAACAGACGAATGTTAACCCCTGTAGTCCATGACATTAGTGAACTAACATGTTTTGGTAGATAATAGAATACTGTACTGTTTTATCAGGTGGGGTATTATATGCTGGAGTCTTGAATAATGTGGTTTGAGTGAATGGGTAGGGTAGAAGAAACTGACTGGGAAGGTGAAGGAGAGGGTTGGTAGTGTGGATTTTTATTCAACACTTGGCTAAATCAGTACTGCTGCTACCATACACTGATAGGGAAGGGGGTGGGGGGTATGCTATTTCATATGCCATCACTTTTGTTGTATATAAAACCTATCCTCAAATAATTGTACCAGTGCACAGGATTATTGTTGAAAGTAGATAATCCTGTACTTGCAGTGATCATTGGACTGGGTATTGGGTGAAGATT